GGGGGGGGGGGGGGGGGGGGCGGGCAGGATACCATAGGATGACACACAAACCCTTCCCCTGAAGTATATGTGTACCTCGAAATACAGTCTGATAAATCACATCACGGTGTGAACAGTGAATGAAGCCAAAACAATGGTTACAAGATTTGTATTATCATCTTGTTTCATGGTCTTGAAAAATATTTCAGATATATCTCTGCACGGCCATGTAACACCCTTTATTTACATTGTATATAATTATAACAAAATGACAATCAGTGGCTCTAAGGGTTAACACATACTTCACTGGCTTTGTTTATCCCTCCAAAATTCAGGAAAATATTATAAGAAGGCCCTAGAATACACTTATTTTGCACAGCATTTTTGTGTACATTATAGTCAGTAGATTTACCTCTCTTTGTTCAAGAGCAGTGATAGAAGTGTTTTTTGGTAGCAGTATTAGTATAGCCCCTGCTCCTAAGGTTTGTACTGCTTCTTTGAACCTCTCAATAGTGAGATCAGACAATCTTGTAACCACACAGCGCCTTGTCAGCATGTCAGAAGTCAGGGGCCTTGCTTCCATATTCACCAATGAACTGCGGGAACCTGAAACATGACAGTAAAATAAAATATTGATAAACGTTTAAAACACATTTTTGAGACCATAACTAAACTTGAACCATGCACACATTTTCCCACACATAATGGAACACGGCCTGCTGTAATTATTTTTGTCAATCAAATGCTCTCCTTGTTCTCCCTAGGATTTTGGGAAGGCCAGGGGGTACTCTGACTGTGATTTTCAAAAGCTGGTGTTTGTATGAAGTCTGAATAATAATAGAGACAGTGAAATATGATCAGTTCTCAAAGACTCTTTGACTGAAGCTGTATTTCTTAGGTTGACCAAGATCTCCATTTTGACACTCCTGGGATTTTCATTTAGTAATACACGTAATCTCCTTGATAGACCTTTGAGTTTTTGGGACAGTTTCAAGATGGCTGCCTTTAAGCCAAACAACAGAGTTGAAAATTTTCATCCAACAGTAAAACACTTAGAGGAGGGAATGAGAACATAAAAGCAAGCCAAGTAAATGTTGACCTATAAACAATTTTTTTAACACCACAGCCATTCTTTTTTGCCAAAAAAATGTAGCATTTTAAATGAGTACTGAATTAGCAGCGAGTTATCAAATGAATGAATGGGCTCTTTCTGATAGAGTTCTCTCAGTATCAGAGATCATACATGTATATATGTTTCATGTTTTCACCCTTGTCATTCTAGTTTAAAATTACCTCTCTGGAGTCGCAGTGGACACCACCGTGGCAATAAAGAAAAATGAGCACTGTGGTGCCTATCTTAGTTGTAAGGTCTTCAGCTGTTTCCCGCATTCACGGTGCATCTCCGTAAGTTGTCAAAGAAGAAAGTGATCGGCAGCTGTTTCAGTTTAATTTTCCCAGTGAAGTATGTGTCAGTTTTGTATGCCCATCGAGGTGACAGACATTGAGTTGCAGTTTCACACCCTTTCATCTTGACCCGAATGTAATGTCTTGGTTTAAACCATTTTTCTCTCATGAGGGTCAATGCTAATTTAAGCCTGGTTTCCACATGATCGCCCAGATCGTCCTGATCGTCCCAGTCGTCTCAAACAATGTTCAGATGATCGAAACAATCACATGGAAAGCTGCCCGGATGATCGCAAAGGACCGGCTGGATGACCGAGATGACCCCATTCGCTTGGGTAGAGTTGAGTTCTACCCAGACAATCAGGAGGATCGTGTAAATTTTGAAGCAATCATATGGAAACGCTCACAGACAATGAGATGATCAGGATGATGATAATAATAAAAATAATAATTTATTTTATGACTTATAATGCTATACCTGCCAACTCTCACGCCTTAGGCGTGAGTCTCACGCCCGCGGGTTGAAAACTTTGATCTCACGCCGGCTCACGCTTGCGGGCCAATTTCTCACGCCTGATTGAAAAATGTGAGTTGTTGCCGTCTTGCTTGACACAATTTCCAAAAATATGTTAACTCAGACCCATGTAATATTTTCCTAACACAAGGTTATCCTAAGTGAAATGTTTTTGTTAGATTTGTACATTTTCATTATTATAGTTTTTTAAATCCATTTTAACTAAAACTTGTATATTATACACGTAATTCAGTCTTCGGACTGCGAGGTGTTTCTTTTTTTTAATAAACGATTTATCTATCTATCTATCATTGATAATACCTTTTTACCTTCAAAAGCAGAACCAGCCTGATCACTGGTTACAGCTGTTTCAATGTCTTTATAAATCTCAGTCAGCTCCTTGTCTTCATAAGCAAAATAAACAGCAACTGGTACCTCAACAGTTAACAAATCTCTTTCCAGCTGCTGCCACTCCTAATGCAAAATACACAAATTAAACCTCATTTTCATCAATCTAGAAAATCCCTGAAAATCACACATTTTATTGTTCTCTACCTATCCCAGATATTGCTGACTACTACAAACTCAAAATTGCAGATACACATGTATCCCTGTTCGTCTGGAAAGGTCAGGGATAAATTGAGACAATCAGAAGCATTTCTGCTCTATAGATGCCTCTTAGATTTCTGTGATGGTCAGTGATCATTCCTCACATTACCTTTTAACGAGCACACATTGTAAAAAATGAAAGGAAAAATGGAGTCCGCATAACATTGACCAAACCTAGATCAAATCAATCACTGTAATCCTTTACCTTACTGAACACAACATCTCCAATACCCCTACTCTCCTTAAATAAAGAGATTACAGTAAAGTAGCTCTAGTCACTAATAATAA